CGGGGAGCGGGGTTGGAGTTTCTCGGGCAAAGTCCCCTTGGGCTGCGGGGAGAACGTGTGGTTTGGGCAGCAAAATGCCCTGTCTGGCCCCAGGGGGCAGGACCTCTGTGCGGGTCTGTGGCTGCTTCTCCACATTGTGCCATGTGGGAGACTGGAGACAATGATGCCCATGGAGACAAATCCCTTGTGCTGCCTGCTCTGCTCCCTGCCGTGCTGAATGCTGGCGTGGCAGAAGAGATAACCAGGATTTTCCCAGGTTTCCACAAATGAGATCTGGACTTCAGACAGCTTAGAGACCAGGGAAACAGAAATAAGTTTATATTTTATATCATGAACAACAACCCGTAGCAGCTGGGGATGTGAACACTGTCTTTCCATGCACTACACTCAGTATTTATTTATGTATAACATAAATATAACAAAAGAATAACATCAGCTGATACTTTGCCCAGCTAACATAAGCAAATTCTGTCACACATTAGGGAAGAGACCTTCAACTGTAGGAGCTCACAGAGCTGATAAAAGAATTAGTAGGGAAGCTGAATTAATGACCTGGCGTACTCCAGATAAATAACACATCGTGCAGATTAAAAGTCTGTGCATCCAGAACCCAGGTAAACTGCAGCTCAGAGCAAGTAATCACAGGCTTCCCTAACCCACATGCCATCCCATGCTTTCAGTGACATACAGGCTGCTTCCCTCCTTAATTCAATGTAATGTAGTTTCTCTGTCTTTGGCTTTCTTTTGGAGGGGAGCCATTTTATTCTTGTTCACTTCTCTTTAATGAGGTGCTTAGGCATTAAATGTAGTTCATAAATACAGGGTGATTTATTACTTTCCTTTCCTGGAAAAGAAGCTTAAGCTTTCTTTCTAAAGAAAGCTTTCAGAAGTCCCATTTTCAAGGATGCTTCATGAAATAAGGCAAATGCATCCTGTAATAATATACACAAGACAATTACAAGGCTAAAATATTTTTCTCCATTTTATGAGCTAACTTGAGACTGCATTTCTTAAGGTAGAGGGACTACTTTTATGCTAAATTAACTTCATATGAATGATTAAGAGATGTCTGTATGTTTAGAAATAGAGCCTGCCAAGTGTTGCTGATTTTCACAGTACAGAAATCAGTGTGTTGGTCTCCAGGTGATCACACGTGTCATGGACACACCTCAAGGGATGTGGGGCATTGCTGCTGCCTTCAGAGAGCTGCAGAACTTGGGAAATGGTCAATACACTTGATCTTAAAGAGTTACAGTCCATTAAAATTTTTCTTACTTGTTTTAAAGTTATTTACCCCAATTAGGGAAAAAAAAATAAATAGCAATGGCTGACACTGTTCATAATTTTTCCATTAAAGGAATAAAAGTAGCTAGACATTATGAAGCACTAGCTGCCTAATATTCATAAGAAGACCAAGAACCCATCCTCTCCCATGTGCTTTAAAGCACTCCCTTAAATGTGATCACAAAATGCTTCCTCCTTAGAGAAAGCTTTTAGCTGATGAAATGCTCATCACCTTGGGAAAGTATTGCCTGAGAAACTCTACCTAAAGTAATTGTGAACACACATGAACACGAGATAAATTTTTCACCATGAGGACAATCAAACATTGGAATAGTCTCCCAAGGGAAGTGATAGATTCCCCCACATTGGACAGTTTTAAGTCTCAGCTTGACAGGGTCCCGAGCTACCTCATATAAACTAGTAGTGCCTAGGAAAGTTGGACCAGATGATCCTTGAGGTTCCTTCCAACCTGGCATTCTGTGATTCTGTGGACCTCAGTAAAAGCTGAAAAGGGAAAACTTTTCTCAAAGGCATGTTTGGGCAAAGCATCTCATTAGGACTGTGTCATTAGGACTTCTGTCTTACTACTGTGTTAAAACGTGGCAAGTGTCAGTGGGTGACATAAGAGAAGGTTTGTGCAGATGCTGTTGGTCAGTTCAAAAGATACCTGCCTGTCAAAGCACAGTCGTGGTGTCAGCCTTCTCCTTATTTTGCCAGTGGTCAGTTGGGATGAGGGGGATAAGAAGTAGAGGCTCTGTGTAGCCCATACCTCCAGGCTGTGTTTAGGGACCCCAGGGTGGGTTCTGCACTCTCCACAGGGTCAGAGTAGAAATTCTTGCAACCCACTGGAGGGAATCTCCCCTGGAAGTAAAACCCTTGCATATTTCTTGTCAGGACTCGAGGCAAATCCTGGTTCTAGGCAAACCTCCAATGATCGCATCTCCCAAGGAAGAGCACTTACAATACAGATTTGATCTCCTGAGTTTTGAATATGTGATCATCTCCTTGGCAGTTCTCTGATTAGCAGCTATTCCCTGCATCCTCAGTGTGCCATTTATGGAGTGATCTTCCACTCATTCAACACTATTAATTAGACCTTCAAATGTATAATTCTGGGGACATGAATAATTGTGGGAATGATAAGGAAGATAATACAGCCCTCCTGCATTGCTTATGACCTTGCTAAATGTAGGAAAACCCATCTTCCTCTATAAATGACAGGATGGCATTTTATATTTTAAGAGTGTTCAATTAATTGGTCTAGTGAAAGATGTCCCTGCTCATGGCAGGGGGTTTGGAACTAGAAGATCTTTAAGGTCCCTTCCAACCCAGAGCATTCCATGATTGACTGTATGATTGTAAAAAGATACTGCTGGTCTGGAAGGAAAGCAAGCAAATGGAAGCCACTGTTAAAAAGCAAATGTTTATATTTGGAATTGTTTGAGGGTCCACGGTTTCTATTTGTTTTTTATTTGAAACATTAGAAAATGGGAGTGTAGTTCCAGTACTTCATGATAGAAGAACGAAAAATGTTGCTTTGAAGCACATGGACTTTCATAGTGGAGACTGGTGCACCAAAAACATACTCTGTTTTCTTCTGTGATTTATATCTCTTTATTCATACAACTATTTACCAATTTATAAGCATAACAGTGCTAATATGTTGTTTGTATAAGAAGAAGTATATTTTTTAAAACTTTCTTTGTCCTTTCCACTACTCTTTAGTTGTTCCTTGAGCCCCTTTGAGCTGGCAATACACTGCAGGTTGATTAGTGCCCACTTCCCCCCAGAATTTTCTCCACATTGTCTTCTCTTTCCTCCAGCCATCTCTCAGAGCTCTTAAGCCAGCTGACAGCCCCATGAGTTATTCACACACCATTAATCTCAGACCACAATAGAGGTTTCAGTGGTGAAGCAATAATTTAGAACAGTAAGCTACGTACTGACTGAAGCGAAACATGGTGTTAAAAACCTGAAATCTGCCTGCATCTAGTAAGTCTACACTGATACTTCTTTCAGATGCTTTTGATTAGCAGCAGCTCTACACCCAGCTACTTGTGCTTTTGTTTCCATTTCATTGTACCTTTGCCACAGAAGGGATGGAAAGAATGAAAGAGCTGCCAGGTGTGTGCAGGAGAACCCTTCCTGCTAGCAAACAAACTGCTGGGTGGATGTGCTCCATGGGGGCCAGGCAGTTTCTCCAGATAAGAGTCCATTATTTTAAAAGAATCCACTGCCAAGTGATCTGAAGGAGCACTTTCCTTGGTTACATAACAAGCAACGTTTCATCCTCCTGGAGTTTTATTTACTGAGTTTTGTAAAGTGCCAGTTTCCACCAGGCTTTGGGCGTGCGTTCGTAAAGCATCACACAGGTTTAAGGTGTGCATCTCAAGCACCACTGCAGCTCTGGTTTTCAGATGAGAATGAAACAATTCCAGCCTCTACAAGTAGCCTTTGTGCTTCAGCTCTCACAGCATCCTCACCCCTTGATCATTCTCTCTCCCAAGGAACAAGTGATAGGATAAGAGGAAATGGCCTCAAGTTGTGCCAGGGAAAGTTTAGATATTAGGAAGAATTTCTTCACCAAAAGGGTTGTCAGGCACTGGATCAGGCTGCCTGGGCAGTGGTGGAGTCACCACCCCTGGAAGGATTTAAAAGACATATAGATGTGGTGCTTAGAGACATAGTTTAGTGGTGGACTTGGCAGTGCTGGGTTAATGATAGGACTTGATGATCTTAGAGGTCTTTTCCAACCAAAACTATTTTATGGTTTTGTGATTGCTTTAGCCAATTTCCCACCAAAGGATGTCTTCAGCAAGTGGTCTGGTGTATGACTAAGTGTTTCAGAGTTGGGCTGACAAGCATGGAGTGGCTCCAGTGGAGCCTCCTATGCCTTGTTCAAGGGGGTTCAGTGCTCACAGGCTATGCCTGACTTTGGATGATGTCTCAATAGAGCATGTGACACCAGTTGGTGATTTTTATCTGTTGCAGAACCAGTAGGTCCCTTTAAGAAATTACACTAACAGCCCAGTGTGCAATAACCCCTCCTGTCTGATTTAGTATGCTGAAGGGTTTTGGCTGTATCAGGGTTTAAATAGTGCAAGTGCTCTTGGTGGGCTGTGTCATCAAAGGAGGTGAAACGTCCATTCCTTTTGGGCAGGCTCAGCTCTTGGCTTCTTTAGAGAAGCAAAATATTTCTGTGTTCACCTAACTGGGCACTAGCTGGGAATCAGTAAATTCACTAGCTCTCGTAAGAGGCATGAAGGGCCATTCCCAAAGACAGTATTCATCTTTTATGGTGTCCACCTCTTCTGCTTTTGTTACCACAAACTTTTCTGTGTGGCTCTGCCTCTGCCTCTGAGCTTCTGCAGAGATGTGTGCAGAGGAGATCTCCATCTCTTCCCATAACTGGTGATGCTACTGCAGCCCAAAGACCAAATTTGTATCTTTCAAAGTCTTTTTAGGTGGAATCACCTGGGTTTCTTCCATCATCTACTAATGTCAGCAATGTGTGTCTCTGTTCCCTTCTGTAATTTCGTAGGGTGGCCAGTGTGGAGATGGATTGCAAGTCCGTAACCTCACATGCGTAGTGCATGATGCATCTGTTTCTGCTGCATCCAAACCAGTAGAAGATGCACTGTGTGGTGAGCTGCCATCCAAAGAGAGTGTGCTGCAGTTACCGTGCTCTGTGCCTTGCCCAGGTAAAGTCTTCGTAACGTCACGGTGTGTTTTTGCCTGGGGTAGCTGTCTGAGGTGGAGATGCTTCCATAGCTCTGAGTCCTGCTAGCTGTTGTAGTAATCATCAGATCTGGTAAGCATGTTTCTAGATCACCTGAAAAAGGCTTACCTTGTTTTTTGAGAAAAAGGAATTCCCTGGGAAGCAGAAAATCAGAACAATGTGTGATAAACTGGGGTATTTCCCTCTTAAAGCTGTTGTGGGCTTAGCATGTCCTTAACCTTTCAGACTGATTCCTTTTGAAAAGCTGTGATTTATTCTTTCAACGTGCAGGTGACTGCCACCTGACAGAGTGGTCAGAGTGGAGCTCCTGCGAGCTCACCTGCATCAATGGCAGGAGCTTCGAGACAACGGGGCGCCAGTCGCGATCCAGAGCCTTTGTCGTCCAGGCTCCTGAGGACCAGGAGAGCTGCTCGGGGCAAGCGATGGAAACACGGCCTTGCTCAGGTAGCGTGGCCACAGTGCTGCTTCCTCCTGCTCTAGAGTTTACTCTGGTCTTGTGGCAAGGGGGAGACTAACAGGTGTTGATGTTGCAGGGGGGAAATGCTATAACTACCTGTGGAAAACCAGCCTTTGGCGAGACAACATCCGCACGGTGTGGTGTCAGCGCTCCGATGGAGTCAATGTCACAGGTATAGCCACAAGTCTTCTCCTTCTTCTGCGTTAGTTGCTCAGAAGGGAGTTGGACATCCTTCCTCATTCCTGCAGAATTTCAGTTCAGATTTATGTGTAGCACAGAGAGATGGGAGCTCACCAGCCGTGCTGTTAAGCCAACATCACACATGTATTACGTGAGAGAATTTGGGCCAGTTACTCCTTCTTGTTGGGTTGGTCACAGGAGGAAATGAGTGGACATACACTAATTGGGCTGCCTGGGCTGGCTTGCACAGCCCTTAGTGCAACCTTCCTGTGACTGTGGAGAATGGAAGAGAACATCACACATATGGTACAGCTTCTGTACAGCTTCTCTTATTCTGTTCAACACACAGGAATCTCAACTTGCTCAAACTGTGAGATTCC